GGGGCCGGGGAGAGGCGCTGGATTCGAGGCTCGGAGCCGAAGCGGGCCCGGGTCGGCGTTTCCGGCTCGTTGTTTTCAATCGCGTCCGATTGTGGGTCCGTTTTCCCAGCGGCCTTCCTGGCTCTGCTTGTGTCTCTCTCTGCGCCGGGTGCCAGAGGCCCGATCCCGTCCCCTTCCCGCTTCCCGGCTCCTTCCCACGTGGCCAGCAAGAGGCAAACCAGGCCGAGTCTGTATCGGCGTTCGCTTCCCGCAAGCCTGGATCCAGCGCCCTTGGTTTTTCCAGCTTTCCCTCCTGCTCGCTCCCCCCTTGTCCCGAGCACATCCACGGCGTCCCCGCTAGACAGCCGGAGACGTTCCCAAACACGCGGGCAGGTCGCGGAACGACGTCAAACGGGCAAGTTTTGTTCCCTCCGTGGCTGATTTCCATTCGCGCCACTTGGGCTTTTCTTTTTTTGGCACGTGCGACTTAAGAGCGGGGAATGGTTGTGAAATCGAACTAGCCCGTCCCGACATCCTGCGACCTGATCCCCTAACCCAGGGGTTCCCGACCTTTTTCGGTCCCCGTCCCCCCTTGGCTTTTAGCAAACCTTCCCGTACCCCCTATTCAATAGGAACGGCAAGAAATTCTAGACTCTGGAATCCGCAACTTTTTTCACTCACACGACTACTTTTGGAATATTTCAATTAGGATAATCTATTCCCGCAAGCCTGGATCCAGCGCCCTTGGTTTTTCCAGCTTTCCCTCCTGCTCGCTCCCCCCTTGTTCCCAGCACAGCCAGGGCCTCCCCGCTAGACAGCCGGAGACGTTCCCAAACACGCGGGCAGGTCGCGGAACGACGTCAAACGGGCAAGTTTTGTTCCCTCCGTGGCTGATTTCCATTCGCGCCACTTGGGCTTTTCTTTTTTTGGCACGTGCGACTTAAGAGCGGGGAATGGTTGTGAAACCGTAACCCGTCATTGTACGGAAATCGAACTAGCCCGTCCCGACATCCTGCGACCTGATCCCCTAACCCAGGGGTTCCCGACCTTTTTCGGTCCCCGTCCCCCCTTGGCTTTTAGCAAACCTTCCCGTACCCCCTATTCAATAGGAACGGCAAGAAATTCTAGACTCTGGAATCCGCAACTTTTTTCACTCACACGACTACTTTTGGAATATTTCAATTAGGATAATCTAGTTATTTACTGAATATTCCTGCACCCTCACTCCTGCCCCGACCTTGCACCCCCACCTGCACCCCACCTCCCATCCAGCCCCCCACCTCCTGCCTGCTCCTGCACCCTCACTCCTGCCCCGACCCTGCCCCCCCACCCGTCCCCCCCCTCCCACCCAGCCCCCCCCCTGCCCGGACCTGCCCAGACATTGCTTTTGCGGAAAAGTGTCCGTGCCAATCTAGATGCTCTGTTCCAAAAATGCTTTTAACGGAAAGCTTTTCCACTAAAAGCATTTCCGGAAAATCCTGCCAGTCTAGACCTAGCCCATGAGTCTACCAATAAAGAAGAGAAAAACAATGTGAGTGTATCTATCAGTAACAGAAATACGTGATTGTACCAGGAAATAACAGAAATTCAACACAAGTGTACCAGGAAATAAAGAACAGAAATACAATACGAGCGTACCAATTAATCACAGAAACACAACATGAGCGTACCAGTAAGTAACAGAAACACGTGAGTCTACCAATAAGAAACATGAATACAACAGGGCTGTGTCTAGACTGGCCAATTTTTCCAGAAAATCAGCCACTTTTCTGGAAAAACTTGCCAGCTGCCTTCACTGGCCGCTTGAATTTCCGCAAAAGCACTGACTTCCTACTGTAAGAAATCAGTGCTTCTTGCGGAAATACTATTCTGCTCCCGTTCTGGCAAAATACAATGTGAGCATACCAATTAATAACAGAAATACAACATGAGCATACCAGAAAGTAACAGAAATACAATGTGAGTGTACCAATTAATAACAGCAATACAACATGAGCATACCAGAAAGTAACAGAAATACAACGCGAGCGTACCAGTAAGTAACATGAATAGACCGTGAGTATACCAGAAAGTAACAGAAATACAACGCGAGCGTACCAATAAATAACATGAGTACAAGGTGAGTGGCCCAGCGGTGAGAAATTGAAGACCGCGCTGGACGGAAAGGCCCGGTGGGTGGAAGTAAGACAGGCAGTTGGAGCTACGCCAGTGGTGCGGCGTGTTTCCACGTCTTTCGGAACAGCGGGTTATTTCGTGCGGTGGCGCTGGCTTTGGGAATACCCGCCGTCCCGAAATGTCCCTCACTCCCGGTGGAACAAGAGCGGCAGGGCCGTCGGAGCGCGCGCCCGAAATCCCGGGCTGGCTGGGAGGACGTGGCATAGCTATTTCGGGGCACGCCGGTGTCCCCAAACAGCGCCGCCGTGTCGACGGAGCCAAATCTGCTCCGCGGGGTGGGGACGCTGCGGCTTTTTCTCTCTGTGCCTGGCTTCCCGGGGATGGTGTTCATCGGCCGAGGGGCGCCCGCGGGCGGTGCGGTCTCCCGTTGCCCTTTCGAAGAGTTGGTTTTTTAAAAACCCGGTTGTAAGCTGGGAATGTCGGTCCGTGGCTCCCGGCACGGGGAGGGCCGGGCTGTTCTCCGGGGCCCTCGGGGGCTGGAACCAGACGGGGCTCATTCCAGGAGGAGAAACACCGCCCGTTGTCTTCCTCCGGGACACGCTCCGCCAGCAGCCCCGTGAAAGCAGCCCGGCTCTCCCTGGGCACCATGGCCACGGTGCGGAAACTCCAGGAGGAAGCCGCCTGCCCCGTCTGCCTGGAGTACTTCACCGACCCGGTGTCCATCCACTGTGGGCACCAC